TTGATGAATTTGTGCTTGATAGTTTGATATAATCGAAGGGTGACACTTCGATCTTGCAATTGGTAACAATTGAATATTGATTTGTCGAGTTAGGGTTTGTTGATTCCATATGATTAGTTGATTAATCACCTTCTAATTGAATTAGCGACTTTTAGAACCGAAAGGGGAGAAGTCGTAGACCTAGGCTCGCATGAGATAGATGATTTCGTAGCTGAATAATCTATGGGTTGAGATTGAAATACGTGCTTGTCGATGACCCGTCCTTTGTTACGAAAAGTTATTGGGATTGGGATAATTGGCCTGTGTTGTATGCTCGAGCTTGTTCGTCTATGTTCAATCCCTTGTTACGAAAAGTTATTGGGAGTGAACCGCTAGATGTTTAAGCGAGAGTGTCAATCTCGAACCGAACAATTGACTGCTCGGCTTGCTAGAACTTGAATTAATTATCCCCGATTCCCTATCTTCTCCATCTTTGTTCCATTCGCATTTTAAGGTAGATTATTGCTTTTTATTATTTCTTAGTTAGTAATCATTCCATCCCTTATCTGATTAGAGTGTGTAGAATTTATTTTCTTTTCATGTGTGATCGATACCAAAGCTGAATTCCGAACCGCCTTCCTCGAGAGATCGACCCGAGGTCGGGAGTCATCCCGTACTCGGTAAAAATATAATTTGCTACAACATTTAGATTCCATATCTACATCACGGGCTCTCACATTATTTTCTCCAATTTCCACTTCATATATAAAATTCTGGTCAATTTCTTGCTCGACTTTCACTCGTTTAATGCAAGCATCTCCGCCCTGAAATAATAAACCATAATCTACAGATAAGAACTCAAATTTATGCAATAATCATACTATAAGGAATGAAAGTGAAAAACTAGTAGAATGTAAAAGAAATTCCATAAATTAGTCTTTCGATCGAATATCCTCCACCTTCACAAACCAAAATCCTCTCTAATAAGATGAAAATGTTACATTTTTCACATATGAAATTTAGATGAACATGTTATAAAATAAGATGAACATGTTACATAATAAAATGAACATGTTATAGGATAAGATGAACATGTTACATAATAAAATGAACATGCTATAGAATAAGATGAACATGTTACATAATAAAATAAACATGTTATAGAATAAGATGGACATGTTTAGATTCCATATCTACATCACGGGCTCTCACATTATTTTCTTCAATTTCCACTTCATATATAGAATTCTGGTCAATTTCTTGCTCGACTTTCACTCGTTTAATGCAAGCATCTCCGCCCTGAAATAATAAACCATAATCTACAGATAAGAACTCAAATTTATGCAATAGTCATACTATAGGGAATGAAAGTGAAAAACTAGTAGAATGTAAAAGAAATTCCATAAATTAGTCTTTCGATCGAATATCCTCCACCTTCACAAACCAAAATCCTCTCTAATAAGATGAAAATGTTACATTTTTCACATATGAAATTTAGATTAACATGTTATAAAATAAGATGAACATGTTACATAATAAAATGAACATGTTATACGATATGATGAACATGTTACATAATAAAATGAACATGTTATAGAATAAGATGAACATGTTACATAATAAAATAAACATGTTATAGAATAAGATGAACATGTTTAGATTTCATATCTACATCACGGGCTCTCACATTATTTTCTCCAATTTCCACTTCATACACAAAATTCTGGTCAATTTCTTGCTCGACTTTCACTCGTTTAATGCAAGCACCCCCGCCCTGAAATAATAAACCATAATCTACATATAAGAACTCAAATTTATGCAATAGTCATACTATAGGGAATGAAAGTGAAAAACTAGTAGAATGTAAAAGAAATTTCATAAATTAGTCTTTCGATCGAATATCATCCACCTTCACAAACCAAAATCCTCTCTAATAAGATGAAAATGTTACATTTTCACAGATGAAAATAAGATGAACATGTTATAGAATATAATGAACATGTTACATAATAAAATGAACATGTTATAGAATAAGATAAACATGTTACATAATAAAATGAACATGTTATAGAATAAAATAAACATGTTACATACACAATAAGGTGAACATGTTACCAAAAAACGAAAATTAGTTGTGTTCAAAAACCTATCAAATGTGGTCTCTATTTATAGATAATGAAAAATTATGAATTTTGGTATTTTTTATTTTATTTTTTTAATATAAATAATTAATGATATTTTAATTTATGTAATATGTCTCATTTTTTCATTAAAAAAGAAAAATTGGGAGAGTGCACTACACCTTCTAAATTTTCTAGCTTTTTGAGAATGAGGGGCGCGTGTAATACTGTCCTGGCACACTTAGCTAGGTGTGTCAGGGCACACGGTAGTGGTACTGAGTGGGATGGGTGGGGCCCACGTGGGTGGATGAGGGGAAAGTGAAAATGTCTATTCTATCCTTACTTAATGGTTAATTGGATATATTCACCCCAACATGTTTATTTATTTACTGTATTGCCACTCCATATTTGACTGGTATTATTAATGTTTGACCTGATCATATCCATTGATTTGATAAATCCAATGGTCTACAATCATTCTTATTTTTTTCACTGTCTACCATTCTCATATGATCCTAACCCTATATATATATATGTATACTGAAAAATTATATAATTTTAATTTTAACTATATAATTAAAACTGAAATTGAACAATCTTTATAATGTTAGTCTAACTAATTAAAATATATGGCATAATCACATCAAATAAAGTTACTGAACAATTTTAAATTTAAATAACCATCTCATAGATGTGAGTTTTGAGGGGTTTTATGACAAAATTAAATAGTTCCTTGACATTTAAGAAATAATTGTTCAACAAGAAAAAATTATTCCTAATAAGTGTTCTTTTTCTCTCTTTATAATTTTTATGTTCTTGTTGTGATAATGAATGTCATGGACTTTTTTTAAGGCCAGTCCTAAATTTGAACTAAAAAATATATTTTATTTAATGAATATATTTCCAAAAAAAATATTTTGTTTCAAAAGTACTCAAAAAATAATATTTTTTATATTATTTTTTATTTAATATCTACTATAATTTTAGCCCGGGTAAGTTATAAATCCTGGCTCCGCCCCTGATTACATAGCTTAATATTTGAACCTACAACACTCGATTCATACAATAATCGACCAATTGTTCATTTTATAGTTGGTGATCGATATACCTGAGGTCGTTGAGTATGCAATATGGCGACTGGAAATTGGACGGAAAAATTGGACTCGCGAATGGAAATTGGCCGGAATTCTCCTGTAATATCCAAAAATCGAGTTCGAATTAGTGGAAGAACGGCCGCGAATTTTCAAATGAGTAGATTTTTCGCCATTAATTTCATATTAATTGCTCAATAAAATTCACAGTTGCGGGAATTTGAGATACGAGGTTAGGTGCGGGAATGAGATACGAGCTTAAGGGTTTCAGCTGAGGAGTCCAACTAAGATGTATATTTATATTATTACCCTCCAATTGATTGGGCAAGTCAATTTCAGCGCGCGTCCTGGGCCATCAAATTGTTTTGATCATGTGAATATAATTCATTCTTATTTCTTTCGTTAAGAGTCATTCTCACCGGAACCCGAAGACGGGTTTTTAGGGTCGCGATCCTGCGGGCCCCACCCACCCCACACCCTACACTCTATCACATACACACGCACCAAGCCGCAAGTCTGTGACACACTCGACTATAACACCACCCGCAATCGCCGCGTGCCGCCCGCCACCAGTCGACCGCCGGTCGAGTATCCACCGTCATCCTTTTCAGCCGTCGTCACTCTCCTCTATTGCAGATCTCGAAGAAGAGCCTCCAAAACACACACCTACACCCACTGCCGGTCATCTCCTCGCCTGCGACCACCCGCTGACGCAAAACCAACGCCGCCCCAGTCATCGGCGATGACACACTCCGATGCTCCTCACTGCGACAATATCCCCGCCGGTGCCAACCACGATGGCCAAATCGATTGTCAAATTCCCATCGACGTCGGCCCTCCCATCTCCGTTAGCAACAAGCTCTCGCTGGCGACGCACATGACGGCCAAACCATTGTTATCCATCGTTCTGAGCCCCGGATTCGCCAAACACGCTCACCGACTGAAACATAGGTCCGGCGATTTCATCCAAATCGGCAATCTGAAACCATAGGTCGCGATTCCACGGGTGCTCCGGCGGCGTCTAAAACAAGGGCACTGCGAGCGAGACTTGTCTGAGGCGAGAGATGGCCGTGAACGGTTGACGCAGGAGGACATAAATCTGATTTACATAAATCTGATTTTTGTTTGGGGGGTTTTCAATTGGAAATTTGATACTTTTGAGGACCTTTGTCCAAATATAAATATGTTAATATACTTACAATTGAATTAACGAGTTAAATTGCAATTAATAAAGATTCTAATAAATGCACATTAAGAGAATCTCCAATGCTCTACTTTTAACATTAATTAAATTTGAATACATGTCAAATGATGAATGGAATGTAAATCCATGTAATATGAATGTCAAAAGTCTTTAATTTGGAATACACATATCCAATAATATGTTAGATTTTTGATGAGTTGGCTTTCAAACACTCTTTGGAAAACTAGAAAGTGGGCTTCACACTTTGGATATTTATTGTCTCCATGTCAGCATAAAAGAGTCCATAACATTATGGATTGGAGAGTAATTTTTGTAATCACTTTATAACTTGATGATGTGGTTAACATTTTATTAAGTTAACATCTCATATTGGAGATGCTCTAAAATTGGTTGACATGCACAATGTCTATGTTTATGCACCTTAAAAAAAGGTCCTACTTATGGAATTCACAAAATCGAAAAAAAAAAACAGAAAAAAAAAATATCAGAATTGGTTGTGATAAAAAAATTGAAATATTCAATACATCATAATACACGATACGGTTAGATGGGAGTGCATATTAATGCATGTGAGATAGCACATTAATTTATATTTCCTGCACTGAACTATGTAAAAAAAAATTATATGTTATAGGTTACATATATTTGTTTCAATAAATAATAATATAAATTATTAGATAAAAAAGATAAAAACTAAATATATAGTTTCATTATAATTTAATAAATGAAAAACAATATTAATTGAAACAAATATTATTAATGTCTTTAAAATTGAAATACACATGAAAAATACTCGATCAGTATGTCGCACAATAACAACAAACGAAAAGCACGTTATTGTCTACATGAATGTATATTATTGATTTCGATATTTTATATATTATGTATTTTCAACAACAAATAATATAAAATATTAAATACTTATATTAAAATACCAATTGTTTTTTTTATAATATGACCAATAAATTAATTTAGTTATTTATGGTAATTCGATCAACCGATTGAATAGGCCGATTACTTCAATTCAGTTTAGGTTGGTCTGGAACAAATTATTAAAAATGTCTATGTTACAAGTGCACAATATTGTTATGCAGGCTGCACATTCATGGGTATAAAATTGCACATTATAGACATGAATCGACCAACTAGAATTTAACTTAAAATTTTTTTAATATTGTTCAATTATATATTTATTTTTTATCATAACAAAATTAACATAAGAAATAATAACATCATAAATATTAAATATATTTTTTATAATATAAAAAATTTGATGAAAAATTAATACGATAGATTTTAATATATAAAAAATATTACAATAATAAATATACTTTTATATAAAAAATAATAAATTATTGCAGTTATTTAGATTAAGTTGACATACAATTATATCTACTAAATATAGTTTTAAAAAGCACATACTTTATATGTATTCGTATAAAATAATTCACTTTATATATCATCATGTTGCACTTTATAAAACAACACATTGCATTTTATAAAATAACTCGTTGCACTTTATCAACACGCTCCACAATTAACGTCAATATCTCCCTCCAAAACACCACACAACATAAATCTAAGAAACAAATATACATGATACTTTAATATCAATAACATCATTTATCCCACAAAACACAAACATGATAGCGTACCAAACTTATAGTGTTTCACTTTATAAATTAACATGTTGCACTTTATAAAACAACACGTTGCACTTTACAAAACAACACGATGCACTTTATCACGACTATCATATTACACATTAGATATCGAAACCGCCTGACTCAAAAATTTTCAACCAAAAGCATATAAAAACAATAAATAAGATTGTTAGTATATTAAATTTAATTTTAATATAAAATACTTAATTTGGGACAAAAATTTTGCGGCAATCGGAGAATATGAAAATTATTATTATTATTATTATTATTATTATTATTATTATTATTATTATTATTATTATTATTATCATTATTATATATAGCGGGTGTACATTAGTGTTGCACGAAATGTAAATTAATGACTATGATTACACACTAACAAATGATACTGGACAAACTGATTTTTTCAGTTCGACTCAGTTAGCCGACTGAATGAACCAAGTACTTTGGTTCGATTTTAATTCGATTTTGGATAAGAGTTCGGTCGGTTCAGATTTTTCAAATGTTCAACGAACGACCTATATGAATATATCCTTAATAACTTAATCGAATGACCTATATTAAAAATATTATTATTGTTTTATATATTTTTATGTATAACGAGTGCACTTTAGGGTTATACAATTTGCATATTAGTGACCATTAGATTGCACAATATCGAACGACCTTGACCAAACTAAAATTTTCAGTTCAAGAATTTAAATTTCAATTCAATCGCCAATTTATATTTCTATGTGCATTTAATATATTTTTTATTGTGCATTTCATAGTTGAAATAAACTTTACACTTTCTTACCATAATTTGGTTCCCAGGCAGTTTTCCTCCATTCATCACATCATGCCCGTCAAAGGTATGCAAGTACTCTCGGGAACCCTCTACCTGATATATTGTGCATTTAATAGTTGAAATAAATTTTACACTTTCTTTATCATTGTGCATTTAATATAATTTTATTAATTATAGATTTGACTCATGTACTAAATTGAAATTTAATAAAAACCTTAGAATTACAATTAAATCCCTTAAACTTATCAAATTCCCAAATGTTTGCCCCACAATTCTTGAAACAGGTTCTGTACAAGCTTCATCAAAATTTCATTCAATAGCAGTCGTCGGTCGTCCACGACGCTTGTACTCCGGCGACAACAGCGGCGGAGGACCTCACCCTTCCCGCGACCATATCGAAGACGATCTGTAAGCCAATTGCAGGGCCTGGCAGCGGGGGATTTCCGCCGAGCAGCATTGCACCAAAGCAGATCGCACGCGACTGCCGTGAAGCGTGGAGCTGTGGTTGATGGCGGACATCTCCAGTGGTTACGACGGACGGCAGAGGCGGTGCTGCTGGTGGCGGACATCTCCGTTGATTGCGACGGACGGGGGAGGTGGTGCTGGTGGTGGCGGTCATCTCTGGTTCCGACGGCGGTCATCTTGGTGGTTAACGGTGAACGGGAGTCGACGGGCTGGTGGTAGTGTTTGTTGCTGGACATGAGTGTGTGCGGCGGTGTGTGCGTGAGTGCTGTTTGTGTGTAGGTATTAGTGATGGGGGGTGGGGGTGGGTGGATTGGGGTGGGGTCCACCAGATAAGTAATTGTTTCAATGACCATTATATCCTTAATAAGTGGTCAAATGCATATATTTGACGGTTATATATTAAACTATTTACCATAATGTCATTACATGTTTGACTTGATTTATTAAAGTTTGACTTGATCATGACCACTTATTTACTAGATCTAAAGACATACATTCATTCTTATTTCTTTCACTATCTCCCTTTCTCATATGATCCTAACCCTACATATATATATATATATACATATACTCTCAAAACGAACATAATATATTAGAAGCCTTAAAATGTACGATCGGCAACCAACTAGTTACACAACAAATTCTTAGAAAACTAGATACCCGTCCACCAAAGAGACTAGAGTGCTCTTCCTGAAAAGCCAAACATGGCTACAAACACTAACTAAACTATAAACCAAACCAGAACAAACAAGAATAATAAGAGTCTTATAACACAAAAATATCATGCACTATCGGCTCCAGCAAGAAGCAAACTGAAATCGACAATTGAAGATCAAAACAACATCCTTAACGCCTACAAATCAAACTAATTCTGACCAACTTTCCTTGAATGCCTCCTTCAATCTTGTAATTATGGACTCAACATATTTATCAAACTTGTAATTGATTTATAATAATATTATCCTAATTTAGTTGATTTGGTTAGATTTACACATTGATATTTTTAAAAAATCAAGAAAACTTGCTTTAGGTGGGATGAATGAAAATTTTAAAAATTGAAAACATGTTATGGGCGNTTTAAAAAAAAAAAAAAAAGTTCTAAAAAAACTTCCATTAGCAATAGAAAACGAAAATTTGGGCGGGAATCTTCATGCTTTTTTTAAATTTTTCCTTATCTATATATATATATACTAGTGTGTATCCCGTGCGCTGCACGGAAGGGTTTTTACTTAAAACCTTTTCTAAGACTTTATATTATACATAGTTATTTATGTTTAACATCTTATTATTATAAAAAAAGAAATACTAAATATGAAAAATTATATATTATTTATTTGAATATAATGAGTGTCCCAACCAAACTAATAACATCCAACATATGATATATGATAAAATTAATTATATGATCGTCATACTTTTTGAAAAAATATACATATATTTCTAATAAACATGTAAGATCCGCATTTAAATTTATATTTGGATATGGGATGAAAAATGAATATGTACAAATAAAAAAGTACCAAGAACCTACATAAAATGAGATTCTTTATAAACTTTAAAATATTTTGTAGTTAAGCAAATATTAACAAACAAAATCATCAATTAAGTTGAACTTAT